ATATAATCATGAAACTCAGAACAATGGTCGCCATATTTGTTGTCATTGTTGTTCATAATCGTAAGACTTATAAAGTTAGCCACCAGAGGCCGCACACTTCGTGATTCTCGCGAAAAAAACTTTGTAAAACAATGAGTCAGTTCAAAAATAGATTGAACAAATTCTAAATAGGCCAGGCATTCTACAGTATTGAAGAATTTTCTCTAAATGCTGATCTAACATAATTTAGTAATATTTGGCTGCATAATTAATTATTAAGTTTTAGTTTTTGTAAAAATGTTTCCTAGGTATCTGTTATGTTTTTATAGGTTTAATTTTTTGTGACAATCTGAATCTTTAAAAATAAGCGATATATCCCGCGAGGGCATCTAAAATGGGACACCCTGTAGGCTGTAGAGAGATATACTGTACCTTCCTCTCTTTATAAAACAAATAAAAAATGTTTTTTGCATGATTTTATCCATCATTAGAGTAAACAATAACTGAGAGAAAGTGTACAACGAAATCATACAAGATGCAAAATATTTGTAGATACCTTACTAATTCCTATAAACTCTTTTCCAAATACCTGTAATTTTCAAAATACATAGTATCAAAATTTAAAAAAAAAACTATTTTCATCAATAAGAGCAAACATATTTCGGTTGTTCACCAGATCGCGTTAATGAGACGTGATGTCAAGGTTGATAGAACTGATCATGATCCACACTGATTCTGCATATGAAAAATAATGTGTTGACATTGAACTCAAGTTCCAGTAGCGCAAACTGGTGAAAATGAAAATGTTAGCCTCCATTAATGAAATACTTTTATTGGTTTCATTGAAATTTGTATGGTCTGTTGGTATTAACAAAATAAATTTTATGATAGCTGATAATATGAAAAAATTAATACGTCACTGTTAATTTCACAAGTGAAATACCTTCTACAAATCTTACTACTCAAAATGAAACTATTATTTCAAATTTTGACATGTAATTAGAATTTTTTACGTTACCAGTTGTGTAAAGTGAAATATTAGATAACTGGTGATGAAAAGTTCATTTCAACACCGGTTACGTAATAAAAATATGGATGTACGATATCACTTGGGAAATCTGAACTTGAAACAGCCATTTTTCACTAATAAATATATCAAAAAAGTCTATTTAGTGAATGTCGTCGCTCATTTTTGACCATATTTTTGTAACTAATCGGTAGAACTCATGTAGAACTGGTCCTTACATCTGTTGAGGGGAAATGTTTCATCAAAATTAGAAAAATATTGTACGTTACATGTTAGGAAACGCATTTTGTGTAACGATAAGATTTTGCGATACGAGCGAAGCGTTTCCTAACTGGTTACGTAAATATCTATTGTTCGTGTTTTGATTTGTTTTCAAAAAGAACTATTCCTCTAAACGCCCTCGAACCAAGTGAATAAGAACATGAAAACTAGCAATTCCGTGAACTTCTTTGCTCAAACGTTCATGTCAATACTGAAAGAACAGTTGAAAAACTACTATCCCTGAAAAATGTCAGGTTCTGTTATAGGTGTGTTGAAAAAGCTGATATTTCCAATGAACAGCATGTATTTAAAAACAGAACAGGTCTTTATATAAACGTTATGGAAACTAGATTTTGCAAGGAATCTACCCTTCAATTTTCAACGATATTAACTATACATTCTGTAAAACACATGACAGTAAATAGAAGAAAATGTGACTTACCCTCGGGAAATACCTATCAACGTACTGCATGCAAATAAAATAAGCAGGTACAGTTTGAAATCATATTATTTCATGACACAATATTGAAAAATCCAATAATCGTGGAAGATTTCAATCAAAATAACGTTCACAGGGTGTTGGCATTAACATGGAGATAAATCTTCACGATGTTATTCCTCTAAATACTTATATAGACTGGTTCTCGACGATAAAATCAAACTATTGATGAATTCAAAATGGTTATCTCTAATAATAATAAAATACAGGGTGATTCATGAGAAGACTCACATAGTCAATTGGTGAATAGGGGAAATCGAGACAAGTTGAACGTATTACCTAAACGTCTTAACTTTGGGATACAGGATGGTGAAGATGAGAAAATAAATAGCCTAAAAATATATAGGGTGTTCCATTTGAAACACTCGAGAAAAATCACTTCCAAAAATTCTGAATTGAAAAATCAATTTTAAGCACCATGTATAATTTGAGGGCATGAAAATTCTACAGAAATATCACGCATCTTTCCATCAAATGATATTATGATTATTTTCTCTTGAATTTCATAATTGTGACTACAGCGATTTTTTCGATATGCATCTGCAGATGACAAAAAATTTAATAACTTTGAAATGATCGAGATATAGTCAACAATATTATTGGAGTTGTTGGAGGTCACATTTGAAAAAAGTGATCCTGACCCTCTAGATTTTTTCCAGTGCCCCTGTATATGCGGCAATAATTTCTAGTTATGGACCTTGTTGTCTCATTCACATTCGTTTTTGAATCGAGTTTCTAGCTATTACAGAACTCGTGCAATCGAGCTCCGACGCACTAATGTCCCACCCTGTATATACAGTGTGTGCGATTTCACCCCGCAACACCCTCCTAATTCGGAACCCGTCGATCGATTTTCAGGAACAAAAATTCAATAATATGCTACTCAACGAGCTCTATTCGAAAATGTGGACAAATTTGAAATATTCAGATGTTTAATGCCTACTTTTGTTTGTTGAAGAGGTCAAAATTGCAACAACGACTACTAGGCAATTTTTTTTCGAAATAGTGACTAGCCTATTTCATTCAGGCATAGCTGAAATACCCCTATACGAAATTTGAACGCAAAATCTCATATAGGGTGTTAGTTATTCAATGGCAAATTTTGATATTTTTGATTTTTCGATTCACCCTGTATCAAAATCTGAGGAGTTGGTATAACCGGTGAAGTAGTTATTCAATAGAGGAACACATCGAATACATAGATACGAAGTTTCATCACTGTAACTTCTACAGGAAGATCTCTCTAGATCAACCAAAAATCAATAAAGCTGAAGTTGAGATTCACCATTCTGAAAACTCAAGTAAACCGTATTTCACACACTGCACCACACAGTCACTCTGAAAATCGTCTTGTTTGATAAAGAGCTGTCGAATATAATACAAATAGAATGACAGACAAATACTCTCTAAAGACTGTTAGGAGATATACTGATGTTTGATGTAATCATAATAATATACCGATTTTGGCGAAATGGAATGAAAATTTGAGATGACAATGAAAATTTTCATGTATAGAGAATATTTTCCCGGATTAGTCACCATTATCTATATTTACTAGAAAAAAGTTATGGATCATAATAAGAAAGATTTCGATTTCAATTTCATTAATTATTGGTTGACCCAGAGAGATCTTCCTGTAGAAGTTACAGCGATGAAACTTCGTACCTATGTATTCGATGTGTTCCTCTATTGAATAACTATTTCACTGGTTATATCAACTCCTTAGATTTTGATACAGGGTGAATCGAAAAATCAAAAATATCAAAATTCGCCATTGAATAACTAACACCCTATATGAGATTTTGCGTTCAAATTCCGTATAGGGGTATTTCAGCTATACCTGAATCGAATAGGCTAGTCACTATTTCGAAAAAAAATTGCCTAATAGTCGTTTTTGAAATCTTGACCCTTTCAACAAACAAAAGTAGGCCTTGAAAATCTGAATATTTCAAATTTGTCCACATTTTCGAATAGAGCTCGTTGAGTGCTATATTATGGAATTTTTGTTTTTGAAAATCGGTCGACGAGTTCCAAATTAGGAGGGTGTTGCGGGTTGAAATTGCACACACTGTATATTACTTTTCCGATTTGGAAATGTTGAGAATTTTCCGAAATTTTGATCAGGGGTGTGGGAAATAAGTGGGGCTAGGGTCATTTCTCCCCCAAACTTAAATTTTTATGCAATTTTTGGCCGTTTGACCAGGAAATATGAAAATATCATAATTTTCACTTAAAAATGATACTCAAAAATAGTGCTTTTTCCTTATAATAGGATACCAACTTTTCCCAAAAAATATGCTTCGATTGAAAAAATACCCTCTTTTCAACATCAACTTGTGATGTTTGATTCAAAATATGGAAGGAACAATGAAGACTGAATTGAAAAATATTATGGTAGGTACCCTATTGGGAAAAAGTACTATTTTTATTACACAGCAGAATTTTGAAATCGATTTATCTCGAAAATGGTGAGTGCTATTGAAACTAAACAAAAGTATAATTTTTGAGTAAAAATGATGATATTCTCATATTTTCGAGTCAAACTGCCGGAAATTGCATAGAAAAAAAGTTGGTGGAAAAAATGCCACTAGCCCCACCAATTTTCCACGTCCCTGAACAAAATTTCGAAAAATTCTCAACATTTCAAAATCGGACAAGAAAATTATATACAAGTACAATATTATATATAATATCTCATCACAGAGGGTTTCGGAGATATTTACAAAAAGTATAAACTCGAAATCTCTTTTCGATGGCTATAACTCCCCAGGGGGCTATTTCTGGGTTCATATTTGCATGAAATTTTTTCGCTTTGTTCATAGAATCTGTGATTGAAATCTATTCATATAATTTAGGAACACCATGTATACATTAATTCGTCTTGTTTTCTCCTATTCACCATTTGGCTATGTGAGTCTCCTCATGAAATACCCTGTATATGGTATCTTATTCAAAATGAAGTTGATTTGTGTTTCAAAAAAATCAGAATATTCCAATTGATCCAGTATCAATTTGAAAAAAATATTATCAACAATTCCTGAGATATCTGACCGATTTCATATTTAATGGTAATTTTGTATCAACTTTACCAAAATATTTTTTTCGAAAATATTGACTCTCATGGAAATAAATATTTATTAGGAATTGAATAGTGAAAATATCATTTTGATCCTGAATTCAATTTTAAACTGTTGAAGTAGATAGAATCAGAAACTCTTCAGATTTCTATTTTACCTTATTGAAGTCAATGTTGGTTTGAAGTTTGGCTATTTTATTTTTGATTTCATTACAATCCTCCAAACTGCAGATTTGAAGTGTGTTGAGTAGATCTTTCTTCACCTTTCTCATGGCTGCAAAAATAAAATGATATTTATGTGGGTATTGCCTAGACAAATTTATAAACTAATGTTTGAAGTGAAGGATATAATCTATAAACAAGGACTTCCTTACCATCATTCAGTTGGGAGGCTGATGCTCTCAAATTATTTGTATCATCTTTCAAGATACGCAAGTTCTCAGATACATTTGGAATGGTGATGTTAATAAAAGTGCACAAGTCCATCATAGCAGTAGCGTTACTCCATATCGTGAGCTGTTGCATGACATGTAATCCAGATTCTGAAAAAAGACAGGATGGAAACATTAAATTGGAATTGAATATGTATAGTTTCCACAATTCACCAAATTAGCATGGTAACATTAGCGATTACCATGAAAAAATTCGGTTGATAGTTCTTAATATAGTTCTTCTTATTATTCAAAATCTATGATCCAGTAGCATTACTGCGAGTACTAAGAAATAAGATATATTGGTGGAATATTTTTTTGAAAGTTGACAAATCGTAATTGTCTGGAACGTCCATTGGTTTAAAATTTGAGGTGTCTTTGACCCTTTAAGCGGTGCCTTCCACAATAATTTCAATTATCGATTTTTTCATGTTTTCTCATTCCCACGTTAGTAAATTCTCTATTTCATATAATTTTCATGATTAACTTGTATACATATAATAGGACCTTTGTTTTATAAGGATTATAGACTGATGATGGACACATGACTGCCCAAAACATGTTCCCTGAATAATCTTTCGATTATTGAACGTTGTGGAGATGATTTTGTGTTTTCTAACCCTTTTATCATTACACTCAATTTAGAGAAAAGTATGGACTTCTACATAATTTTAATCTCATAATATCCCAGGCAGCACAGTTGTCTTTAGATACGCCTCAACTATTCCTGATATTAATTCACATCATAATATGAATTTGTTTCAAATCGATCAACAGGCATTATTTTGCTACAAAACAAATAAGAACGGTGTACACGCGACTCATATCATATCAGTAATGTTGCCGGGGTAGCAACGGGTGAGACCAAGTCCCACCCCCTTTCACAAAACTCCCCTAGGGGACCTTATGGGGCTATCCTCATCACCCCAGGAACCCATGTCAACAAGATTCCTCTTGTTACGTTTGGTGGGTCGCCGTCGCAAGAGGCTCTGGCCTGATTGCTACTCATGTTGACAAGAATCCTCTCGTCCCTTTGAATGAGTGATCGTTCGAGGACTTTTACACGTTCCTCTACATCGTTTACAGGAGAGGACCCGGCTTGCCTACGATGACTGGCGGTAGGATCGCTTGGGGCTGCCCCCCCCCCCTTCGAACTAAGGCACACTAAAGTTCCATTTTCTGCTGAGCAAGCCCAGCAAGAGCAGCTACCCATGTCGACCGGAATTTTCCAGTTCCGTTTGATGGGTGTCTGTTCGCGGCCTTTCACACGTACCGCTACCATGACATGAGTGGGGACCTCAAGCTTTTGACCAGTGGTGTCTGGAGTCACCTGGGGCTACCCCCACCCTGACGCCGTGAGTTCATGGTGGGCCCACGGCCGGTACACGCGACTCAGTACGAATACAAACTACGCATGCGCCGACCCCACCAACCGAACACGAAACCCGAGAAACGATTGAAACGAAAAGCGAATCGCAACGCCATGTTGCTGTACGTCGTTCTATGGTACTATAAAAATCGGCAGTAAAATCAACATTCATGAAACTAATTTTATGAAATACCTTGGCATAATGATTGATAATAATCTGAAGTGGGATAATAATGTAGATTATGTTTTGAAAAAAAAATTAGATGTCTCATTCCAAAATTCACACGTGTTAAATATGTATTGAACAGCAATCTCAATTAGTTTATAGGATTTTAGGATGGGGAGGAGTAAAGCAAATATATTTGAATTGGAATTGACAGATTGCAGTCAACAACGGATACAACGTTAATTTAATAGACAGTATTCTTTCTAAAAAACTTCATAATAAAACTATTCAAGAAGTTTATCCTACCATCAAGAATAATAATCAAAATTATAGAACTTCAACCTATTTTGGAGCATCAACTGAAAAATTAGCTTCATTTCTACATAAACAGGTCTTAAAAGTAGCATATAGAACAAATAACACGTTGGGAAGGTTTATCAAGAATAATAAAGACAAAACTTCTAAATTCGAAAAATCAGGGGTATACAAACCCAACTGTGGATCTTCTCCTGAGGTATATATCGGTCAGACAGGTCGTACGTATAATCAGCGCACACATGAACATAAGACGAATTTTTTGAAAAAGAAAACAAATTCAACATACGCCAACCATATGTTAGATGAAAACCAGTTTTGATGATAATTTCAGAATTCTACACATAGAAAATGAAGGAATGAAACCCAATCGTTTTGAATCATTAGAAATCAACAAACTCAAAAATTCGGACATTTTACTCAACGATCAATTAGACCTCAATAGTTCACCACTGCAGAATTTGTTTCCTTAGTAAGTAATAATATGTTTTTGATATCAACCTTTTCAAGTTAATCCCGTACACCGTATTTCAATGTAGATAGTGTGCCTAATTTCCGAAAATGGAGGTTAATATGATTTCACAAAAATATGGACCCACTTTTAATTCAATAAAAACGCACGGCACTGCCCATAATGATGTTTTTCTCTAAAAAACTAATCAATTGATAACCAAGATTATGAAATTATGAAAATGAAAATTTGTGTGTGATTGAGTGAGCAATAACTGTTATCAACGAATAACGTTACAACACAAAACACAAGTACAATGTACAAACTCATCAACCAACGTCAAAATTGTACTCTAACATCAGCCAACTTGACAATTACAACGATTTGAGATATCAAACCCAAAGTGTACGTACAGACTGCTTTATTCTATCATTATTACAAGAATGCATCAGAAGAGGCGAGAAATGATCATGCTCTAGCTAAAAAAATGATTGGATGCGGATAAAGAAGATTCTAGTTTTTTTTTTATTCTGTTGTGTTTAACCTTTAAAATGTAGATTTGTGGCAACGTCATTTTTGTTTGAAACAAAGTTATAACTTTTTTCGGAATGGGCATTGTTCTTCATTTTCATAATTGTTGTTTCAAATGTAGTGTGATAAACAAATGTTATGATAATGTTCTTACACATACAGGGTACTTAAAGTTAGTCAATGATAATAATAATTTGTCCCAAATACGGACTTGTCCTCTAGTTTTTCAATCAGGTTGGGATCTAAAATTTAGGAAAATATGAAAGTTGATGATTTTATGGATTGAAAATGGAAAAGTGCCAAGTTAATAGCTAAAGAAGTTTTATGCGGAAACACCAAATACATTCAGTCATGCTTATTTTTTCCTGCTTGTCCCAAATTTGTGAATGGGATTTTAAAATACTGATGTATAGGGTGTTGTTTCGACTCGAAACCTACTTATTAATTTCTACAAGGCCGGCCCTGACATAAGACTCATTTTTATTACGTCAACACTGTGGACAAAGAACATACAAACCAAATATCAAAAAAGTTATGATCAATTGAATAAATTGTGAAAATTAATAAATCACCCTGTGTCTTGTTTATACAGGACAGATCTATGAAATATGGATTATTCAGAAGCACATTGGTGTCCTCCATCTACCCTTACTGTATACGCATTTCCCTGAATCTCCCTGTATGTCCTGAATTTTTTCATTTCGTCCTGCATAGGTCATTTTAACCTAGAAATATGACGTCCAAATTAGGACGTCATTCGGACGTCACTGTATCCAGGGATCCTACTATGAAACAACTATTGAAATTAGATTTTGAGTATCTTCCTGTAATACTCGAGGTAATACTTCTATGATCAAATTCATCCAGTACGTAGTTTTCATATAGTGTCATAGTTGATTATCTGATTTTTATTTCTGTCAACTAAATGATATTATTAAATTATGAATTGCGAAAGTAGTAAGATATGGTATACTCATTTGGGGAGGACTGTATAACAATGCATTGAATCCGTTGAATTTTGTGCAGAAGTAATACATCATAAAGGCAGAATGTATCCAACAACTGAGTTATATAATAATGAAATACTCAATGTAAGTTTGCTATACTTTAATGAGAACTGTCTATTCATCGCTAAAAGTCTCCATCTAAAGAATTATTTGTCACATTCACACAGCACTAGGCAAGTCACAAATAGATTATTGACTACACCACAATGTTATAAAGATGCAACTCATCGATTTGCAACAACTATTGCTCCGAAAATTTACAATACTCTTCCACTATCTACAAGAAATACTAAAAACTTCAAACTATTTTCAAGAAAATCCAGAATCTATATCAGCAACAACTGCCGAGAATATACAGGGTGTTTCACAGATAAAGCGAAATATTTCAATGGTACATAGGGGTCGCCAAGGTGGTTCTGAAAATACCATATTTGATAGGTCTTAGAGTCTTCATAACGGAGATACCGGGCGATTCATCGATTTCGAATTATTATTCATTCGTCTATAAGTATTGAACTACCCAGTATATTTTTCTAAAATTTTGTATGGAGCTTAAACTTGGGACGTTGAATTCATTTACCTATCGGGCGAAGTGAAAATCCAGTTTCGGCTTCAGGAAAAATTTACATTTATTCGAAATATTGAAATAACACACTGTATGTGATAATTGACAGAGTTCATCAAAGGAATCGTAAAGCGGAGGAAAAACTGAACTGGATTTGATGCTTTTTGTTTTCCCGCCACCAATTCACATCGGAACAATCATAAACAGAAAGCTAAAAGTATGTCAATTTGAAGAGTATTAAAATTATGAAGCCACTTTCAATTATGACTATTTGATATATTCTTGTTAAATGATCGTTCGAAAGAACTTACTAAGTCTCACAGTCTTTATCACAGAGATACAGGGTGAATTATCGGTTTCGAATGATTATTCACTCGTCCATAAGTATTAAACTACCCATCGCAGTCATATTTTCTCAAATTTGGTATTGAGCTTACTTGGGACGATGGATTCATTAACCTATCAGGCAGAATGGAAATACAGGTTCACCTTCAGGAAAAGTCCCATAGTCTTTATAACAGAGATACAGGGTGAATTATCGAATTATAATTATTTATAATATACTCATATTATAGGATAGGTAGAATATGCACACATAGGTGTTCACACCTAAGTGCATCCCAAAAAAAGTATTAATGTTAAATAGTGTATACGACTGCCGATGTAATGCATAATGTTGATGTATCATAATTGAATAAATTGAATTAAATTGAAATGGAATTGAATTATAACTTTGGACGGTTTCTGTATGTCTGCTGCGAATAGCTTTGCAATAGGTTAATGAGCTCAGACATTAAAACAGTCTAGTTATAATCCGAGATGATAAGTTAAAAAGTAAAAGGTCGTATGCAGGTGGTTCTCTACCTCCGATAGAAAAACTTACAAGGCAGAGAGAACTACGACACCTGGCGTTTTGCTATTCATTCATACCTTGAGCATGAAGACTTGTGGTATTGTGTGCTCACAACCGACACAAACGATAAGGCCAACGAATAACTTTGCAATAACAACCACCCTGTATACAAGGAATAGTGTATATGGTTCCGCTAGTCTTCGATTGAACATACATTTTCATTCATCTACTTGCCTTGAATAGTATTTTTGAATACATCAGCAAATTCTTGATAGTTCGTAACACACAAGCTTGTGGCCTGGGAGCGCGTACTATTTAGATATGCAATGGAATCGCTTTTTGCAACCTCAATATTTTTTGGAAATTCGTCAACGCCATCTTGAAGTTGTTGATTACTGGCAAAAGCACAGACCACGCAGAATCTGAAACAAAAATAATTGTCAGATGACATCTACCACAATCACTCAAATATACAGAGTGATCCGTTTGAAAGCGGGTCACCCTGATGATTTTTAAATTTATGAATCGATTTTCACGATTTTTGTGTGACATGTAAAGGGAGGAAAGGTGTATTCTGGAGCTAAGCAGCGTCCACTTTTTTTAAAAACCAAGGCCGACTAGATCTCATTCAGAGGCTGAAAAATCCAGAATCCATGTAATTAGTTTTTCAGAGACGAAAATCCTGTTGGACAGTGCCGTGCTTTTTATTGATGTAAAATTAGGTCGATTTTTATGAAATATAATTAGGATTTTTTTGCAAGAAAATCAACTTCATATTATTGTTCCTTATGCTTTCGAACCTACATAATATGCAAAAAATCATCTCATTCCAAATTAACAGGATTGGCTTCATTTTTTTCATTTTTAGCCTCGGAAATAGTGAATTCAATGAACATGAAACAAAACGGATATATCCAGTGTCATTCATAAAGTTGACATCATATGGGAAAAACTTTTAATGACAATAAATTTTGAAATTCGACTAGGGCGTTAAGTTTTGCTTAAAAAAAGATGAAAAATAGCCTACTCGGTCGGAGTCACGTGACCTCGCTACATGTCGGAAGTTATATTTTTTCAAATTAATCGCTGAAAATAGGCTCATTTACTCAAATTCAAAGAAAGTTTACAAAAGAAAAGTTGTTTCTATTCCAATTTCATTCTTCTATTGGAACTTCTAGTTCTCGATATGTTTTTGTTTCTCCTAATTGTAACCTCGACAAATCTGTCCTAAACTTCGGTTAGATACGTAAAGTAGTTTGATGATATTCTGATAGATGAGTTAGACATCTTCTTAGTACTGGAAAAATTTATTTAAATAAATGTCGCTCCTGAATGATAGACGATACATCAACTTTGCATCAAACATAACAGAAATTTGAAGCGGGGATCATATTTTTCTCGATAATTAGTGATTGGAAGTTAGTAGCACGATAAAGCTACTAGAATGAAATATTTTTGTAGGTTTTATTTGAAATTTTAACAAATAACCCTACTTTCAGCGATTAAATTGAAAAAAAATCAACTTTCATGTAGGTCGTCACTTGATTCCGACCGAAAAGTCAATTTTTCATACTTTTAAAGCAAAACTTAACGGCCAAGTCAAATTTTGAAATTGATTTTTATTGAAATGTTTCACCATATAAACCCGACTTCATGAATGACACTGTATACAGAGTGTTTAAGTATGTGTAAAAAACCCAGAAGCATGTTGCTGACGTCAAAATAAGAAAAGTTCGTATAAATATATAACTGCAAGTTATTCGTTTCTGAGATACAATGTTGAAGTTTAATTCTTATTTCTGATTTTTGTGAATAAATTTCAAAATAATCGTGATATCCGAGTGGAATTTAGTATATCAAAGTATTTTTCAATGACAAAATCAAGTTTTCCGTTAGTTTGCCTCTTTCGTGAGGGTGGCGACACCTATATGCCTCTTCAGTAATTTACAATGTTATAACTGTTAAAAACGTATCTCTATCACATTCTCTAGTAGGAAAATCGATTTCTCCAACATTTTTTTGAAAACAAATACTTGTACAGGTCGCTGAGAAGAACCGTCTCTGAGTAATTGGGATTCGAATTATTCATTGCATTCGAATCATTTTCGTAGGGCTTGTAAGTCGCCTATAGGTGAATATTGAAGAAAAAAATCACCAATGCATTTTTCTTCTTTCATTGAATGGTCTTCTACCTTCAACAATTGTATGTACGGATTCTTAATTTTTTTTTACTAAAATTTATTACCCTTTTCTAATTTAGTTTTAGTTATTTATGTAACAAGTGTGTGAATTGGTACTTTTTCATACGATTAGAACAAAATTTTGGCGCGAAACTAACGTGGCGCACTTTTTTCAGTTGTATGTATCTAGAATGCGAAGTGAACGCAAAAGCATTCCGCATTCAACAATTACTTTGATTATTTTTGTCACATGTTAAATTGTGAGATTTGTTTCAACCAATAGCAATGCGTAATTCAAGCTAATCATTCGGTATTATAGTGATTACACTGCATGGTGCTCGATGCATCCTTGTTTACATTGAACTGTCAAAATCAATCTGACTTACCACAAAACGTAACTTTTTTAATCGTCGAATATCTCATAATAACACAAATTATGTTTCATTTCTTTCGGATCAAGTTTCATTTTTCTTTATGAAAGTTGTGAAACATTAATCTTTAAAAATACAACACGTCCTTCAAATTTTAGACGATAATTTTTGTTGTATCCTTATAGTAATGTTAATTTGAATTTCGCGCTCAACACTGGCACGATTCGGTACCGAGCTTGTCAACGAGGAAGGTCGGTAAGATCTTAAAAAAAGGCAGAGTCCCGAGAGACAGCAATGGGCAAGTGGACTGATAATGAATTATTGGCATTCAATTACTCCACTGTGTCGTTAGGAAAATCAAGTTTTGCAACATGTCTCACTCTTTTTGTACGTAAATATGCGTTGTTCGAAATTGTTGAATTTCAGAGCTCATTTCAAACGAACCGTCATGGCCCCCAATTGGCAATACGTCGAATAAATTGTGATGTCAGTTTGCATGCTGTTTAGTTATTGGTCAGATAATCTTCCATTTCCACTCATGAAGCAAGGTTGCTAAGTCACCAATTATCATCAAGTTATCAAATAGTTGTTACGAGTCCTGTAATTGAAAAAAACATGATAGGAGGAAGCCATGATATTATAGTTGACTGTATCCAGCAACAAGCATGTCCAAATATTTCTTATACTCCATAACAAAATGTCATGTAGATGTTGGAGACTTGGCAACAATGTGCTGAATTAGCTGAATGCTGAGAACTGACAAGACCACGCCCACAATTCATGCGCCGTTGCTATGTCCTCTAGTGTGAATTGATATGATAATTATTTACACAACTGTATGGAAACCAATAAGCCACAACGCATGAGGAAACATTTTGGGACAATTGCTTTTTTAATGCTAATTAGGAATATTACGGAGAATTTATGGAATATAAAAAACTGATTTTTATGAAGTATCCAATTGATTTCAACATATGGCAACTGTGCTACGGTATGGCCTTACTTACTAAATCGTGACGTCAGTTTTTACTCGCGGTAAATTTCTAGCCGTTTGAAAATTACCGTGGCATTATTGATAATTTTGACAACTTAAAATCGACAGGAATATTCGAAAAGAATATGAAATTGAAAGGTATTTGAGTGATGATTCTATTAAGGAAATACAAAAAATACCCCACTCGCCTATAAGAAGTGCCAAGACTCGGTAATTTGTGTCCTACTCGCGTCATTTACTATGTGCATTCGATAGAATACCAGAACCGTGTCAAAACTGTGTGTGTGTTTATTGGTATATTTCAAGTGAAGTCGATCAATTAAATGAACAGGAAAATTATTGTTAACTGCGATTTGTTTAATGATACTCAATTCAGCTGTAAAATTTTCATTGTTCAAGGGTATTGTAAAAAGTCTATGAAAAAGTGCATGAAAAGCTGAAAATTTCTGGCTGTAAGGGTGGAATGAATTGAAAGGTATAATATTATCAGTACTTGTTGGTTTTCTATAAATTGAAAAGTTGAAAGAATTTGTTTTGTGTATCAAGATATCAAGAAAAGGTAACTGATTATTGGATTCAATTTCCATTGTGAATTGTATTCTAGGATTAATAGAGTTCAAAAATGAAAGAAAATCATTGACTTCAAGTAGGGTACCTTCAGAGAGAGCAAGAATATCATCAACATAACGATGCCAAAAAATAATTTTAACAAAGTTAGGTAAATTCACAAACTCCTTGTTATTTTAACTACAACTTTGTTTTGTGTTCTATGTCACTTCGAATCAAAACAGTCCTTAGTTTTGACTAATGTTGTATTTAGTCCTCAGCGTCATTGTCATCAATTGTCATTTATCGATTGTCATTTGTGATTAGTTAACCTTATTCAACAAATCCAGGTCCACATGTTGGTTCATTTTGATATTCGAATTTTATCACATTTTCTTTCAAAACTAAGCTCTTCTGGAGCTGTAAATAATGGTTCCCTAACATTTGCTCACCCGCACTATGCGCGGTTAAAAACAAAATTAGTTGATTCATGTTTTTCATTAAGTAATCTTTTTCCACCAATAATGGTAGGTACATTTAGATTCCTTACAGATTTTCTTTTGATACATTTTCTAATGATGCACAATTAATCCTTCGAAACATTTCCTTACTTATGTCCATGACAGTTGGTCATTATTAAATTGTTTATGTGGTGGAGTTGTGACCGTAAGTTCCACCCCTCCTGATTTATATCACCACCACTGTCAGTTATGGATCACCTACGTTGGTTAAATTTCAAGATATCTTGAAAAGTAAGCGAAATATTTCAATTAATAGAAAAAAATGATAAATTTTTACCCCCTGTAGCTCCACTACTGAACGAGATCGGACTAATGTTTATGTAAACTTTTTTGATTAAAATGATATCTATCTCCCATTCTAGTTTGTGCCTTAAAACCTGAACCATCCTGTATATCGATTTTATTATGTTCATAATATATCTGAGAATATTCCTTTTCGATACTTTCGTACCCAATCAAGGACGTGAACGATGGGAAATTTGTATTTTTATAGACCTCTAATCGCGGATTCGTGATTGGGTTTTCTCATATTTAGAATTTCTTTCCACGCCCTGTATGATGAATATCAATTTGTCATCCAAACAAAATAGTTCAAATTAACTGCGAATTTTTGAACGTTTAATAGCTCTGGTAGGTAGAAGATGGTGTTTTGAAGAAAAAAACAAGAAACACTATTTTTTTCTGCAACCGACACAAAAGTCGTCCATTTTAATACCAAAATTAGCTCTTAAATTGACGTTTCTACTACTGACACTAACAGCTAAAGTTGAACGTTAGCTCCTAGGAACTAAAAAGAATGTACTAGGTCATCAAGAATAAACAACATTGTTATGGTTGGTTATTTGGGTTGGGAAGCATACCTGATTTGTTCCCGATTTCGGCAGATTTGGCATTCTTTACCCATGCTAGCGATATAAATAAACCATATTATATTTAAGTATTTTTGTTTTGCTCAGGAAAGCCTTCAAGATTCACATACTTTTGATCTGTATTTCATTCATTCTCGGGATCTGATTGATCGGATAATTTGTTTTTAAATAATCACGGCCAGCAATACTTTTTTGTCTCACACAACGATATTGTTTACATTCATTTGATCACCGCGCCAAACACAGTGGAATATGGAGAGAAATAAATAATCGCTATTATTATTGTTGATATCCTAACTAAAATAACATTTTCCACTTCTTTTTCCTATACCTGACACTGGCTCGGTCTTTGCTATTAGGGCAGACACCTGATCCAAATGAATTCATCAATACATCGATAAAAACACAAATGGGTCACTCTGTGGTTGTATTTATATTGGAACTATAATTCGAACATCCTTGAAAATTGAATAAACCTGATCTGTAAATGCATTTAGAATATTCTCACCACACGGATTATTTGTTGCATTGACTACATATGGCACGGCATCCACGTTTCGGGTATAGTATTGAATTCGTGCCTGTAGTATCTGATGATGCATGTCAACACAAATTGTAACAAAGTAAAGTCATCGTCCACCAATATTCTGATGTAAAGTAGTCTGAGGTCTTGCTTCTAACTACTTACCTATATAATTATAATAAAAGTATCATAATAATCTGTCAAGTAAGTCACATTGGTGGTTACTTCACATATTTATTTTAGTTAAATCTTTCGATTGCAGTCAAAATAGCATGTTTCATTGGGATCAAAAGTGACTTTGTTTGACTTTTTTTCTTCAATGTATCAGTATATCACCTGATGAAGCAACTGTGTTAGCAAACCATATCGTGTGTTTGAGAATTTTGTAGAAATCTTATCGCTTGTGAAGTTTTTACAAATATGAACATGATGAGACCAAGGTAGGTGCAAGCCACATATCGTTAATGAAGGGTTTTTGTGGATTCTAAGGAATTGAAATAGTATATTACATACCGAGGTGGGAAGTGATTCATTCCTGTCGTGAGGTTAGCTATAATTTCTAGACAGGAATGAAACTTCCTACCGAGGTTTGTATACCTTGTATATTTTATTAACAACCATCATATTTCGATCAAAATTAATAAATCTATGTTTCCTTCTGAACATACCTGAATTATTACATGAGTGAGGGCGGGTAGTAGAGGTGTGTAATGTGACACTTCCCAACCTTCAATGACGTTAGTAACAACATTACATACATGGTTGTAAATAAAATTTAATACAATCGAAATTTAACTGCTCGTTAAGTGAGGTGACAGAGTTATTGTTCAAAGAAAAACTGGGATTTTATTTAGAACGACAATGAAAATACTCACAGCATCGCCGTTCCCAACAGAATCAACAGAGTTCCTTGGATCACCTTGCTGCAAAGGTCTCTTTTCTTGTCGCAGGGCTGCGGCCGCGATCCGCAGTTGCCACAACAGCGGCAGCAACAGAAGAACAGACCGCACAAGGGCAGGAAGATGGTGATGACGGCTACCAAGATGATGACAGTTATGAGTCCCCAGTAGTACTTGAAGATCTGTCCTATTGTGATGTTTGAGTTGATCTGCGGATGATCAGTTTTGTCGTAGACTACCAGATCTGGAAATGATAAACGTGAAATATTTAGGTATGGTGAGGTTTTCTTCATTGAAAATCGTCGGTAGTCAGGGTATCCTTTAGGGATTTTTTTTTCTGATAGCAACCAGCTTTTGAGCATTTTTGTTACTGCTATGCTTAGACGATTCATGTTAATAGTAATCCCGAAAAGAATGTGAAGGATAAAAAATACCCGCATCTTTTACTGAGGCGGAAATTTGACCCCTTCTCGCTATAATGATATGAAGGAGGACAATTGATACCTGTGAATTCAAAAGCTACTGAGCAGTGATGTCAGTGTCTTCTTGCAATTTGATTGGGCTGGGAATCACTTCGCTGTTGCCAGATCTCTATAAAATTCTTGAATTGATCCTATGCAAGATGGTGCAAGGGATGCAATGATTCGAAATTACTATGTAGTAGATGATTGAAAATTCACTGCTGATCACATTCAATTTGCTCTGAAATCCAGAGTATTTCATTAGTTTCAAGATTCAATGTAATGCAGGCATCTCACAGTAGGACGCTTTTTATATACTCAGTTGGGTTTTAGTTATGCTGAAATTTTGTTGACTAATTGTTATAATCAACAAATTGAACAGTGATACTATATCTCAAGCACTCATTCCCAGAAAATTGAAATGCTAATCTGCAAATATGTCTACAAGAGAAATAGGTTAAGCAACTGGCGCTAACACAATTTTGCCAAGTTTAAAATACCTTATTTTCCGCATAGCTTCACTCTTCTTATTTCTCAATATTATTGACAAGGTAGTGATGCTTGAACTAAAATCAATAGAAATAGAAAAACGTATATACTCGTGTTTTCATTCACGTTGGAATATATTACACTGACCCACACAAACAGAAATATGTTCAGATGAAGTAATTACAATAGTATAAGAGATTTCATTCGAATAATATATTCTTACACCCCCACACATGAATGGATGGTAGTCTCAGTCATTAAAAAAGTATATACTCGTGTTTTCATTCACGATGGAATATATTAAACTGTTCCACACAAACAGAAATATGTTCAGATGAAATAAGAACCATCTCATAAGAGATTTCATGAAAGTAGTATATTCTAGTGTTTTCATCCAAGTTGAAATTTATTTCACTGCCCCATACAAACAGAAATATATTCTGATGAGCAAATAATATTCTAAGAGATTTTGTTTGAACAATAATTTCTTACACCACCCCACATAAATACTTTCCAGTCTTCCTAATGAAAAAAGTATATTCTCATGTTTTAATCCAAATTTGAGTTTATTACAATGTCCCTCACAAACATAGATTTATTCTGATGAAGAAAACAACATAGTACAACAGATGTCATTCTAATAATAATTGCTTACATCATCCCACATGATTTCAATCATAGTTCATTCCCACCACTTCTTTCTATGTATAACTCTAGATCAAGAATTGACCTGGGATGCACATATAGATACACTATGCTCTAAGTTAGGCACTACTTGCTACATTATGACACTTTGAGAATGGGCGAGTGGACTGATAATGACATTCAATTACTCCACTGTGTCGTTAGGAACCTAAATTAATTTTTGCAACACTTCTCACTTTTTTATGTAAATAACGAGTCTATGTGTTGTTCGAAATTGTTGAATTTCAGAGCTCATTTCAAACGAACCTTCATGGCCGCCATTTGGCGATACGTCGAATAAATGGTGAGTTATTATCTGCACTCATGAAGCAAGGTTGTCAAGTCACCAATTTCAATCAAGTAATCAAAAAGATGTTTGAGTCATGTCCTTGAATAAAACATAATAGGAGGAACTCATCACATTATAGTTTATTCTTGACTTTTTGGAGCAACCAGCATGTCCAAATATTTCTTATTATAACAAAATATCATGTAAATGTTGGAGACTTGGCAACTTTGTGCTGAATGCTGAGAACTGACAAGACCACGTCCACAGGTCTTGCGCCGTGTTGTCACGTTCACCGATTGAAATGTTCTCTAGTGTGAATAAATTTAATTATTATTTACACAAATTCATTACAAGCAATAAACCACAAATCATGAAGGAACATTTTAAGACAATCGAGTTTTTATTGCTAATTAGGAATATTACCAATAACAATTGAAGCTTTATGAATTATTGAATAACTAATATTTCTGGAGTTCCCAATCGTATTTCAACACATGGCAACTGTGCTATGGTCTGTCCCTACTTAGGAAATCGTGGCGTAAATTTTTACTGACCGTTTGAAAATTACCGTGGCATTATTGATGATTTTAGCACCTACAAAAAATTCTTCAAAAATAAGAAATTGAAAGGTATTTGAGTGAAGATTCAATTTAAAAAAAAAAATTTAGTCCACTCGCCTATTCTCTACTTTATATGGTCCAATCGACCCTGCAGTATTGATAAATTTCCAGGGGTTCTTCCAGTTATTTTGTTCAAGCTTTTCGCTGACAATAAGTATTACGGACTATTTACAAAACTCCCGCACATTCAACATGTGAATCACTATTCAAACAATTTCAAATCCTAACACTGCTAACATATTTTCTAGTTGATAAGAAAACTAAACAGAATTTCAAAAAAATTGTTACGTGCATCCATATTTCAGGAGGAATAGTGAAGCTATCCACCAACCCTAGATTTGTGGTTTGCCAAAATTCGCCGAAATATGTAGACATTGTATTTTAATAAAATTATAAGCTTACTCGATACAAGTAGCACAATAATTTTCAAGAAAAACTTGCATACTTTCTCATGTGATAAATAGTTTATGGAATTGATTAATTCCTCAATTCATAATTCGAAGAAAAAATTGAAAGGAATTAAATATATAGCTTATCTTACCATATATTTACACAATACATAATGAATATTATCAAGAATAAAGTTCATTCTTTGACTATCCTAATGTATTTTATAAATTCTTTCAAGATCATTGCGAATCTATGATGAATAATCTATTTTTATAGTTACTCCATTCAATAGTTTTTATATGCTAAGTTTTAGAGTATTTGACTCCATCATATTATGAATTTTATGATTTTAATTGTATACTTCTGAATGTTCTTGTTTTTGACTAGCCCAATAGGTTTTACATGTATATATTATTCTGCATGTGTATATATTTCAGTGATGAATAAATTCTATCCTATTCTATTCGATTTTATTCTCTTCTCCAAACTCTACTGCTAGTTATTCACTATATCGTACAAGTTCTGATGGAAGATAGCTAGTCAAACCAAAGAAAAATCTACAATGTGCTTATCGACATCTGAAAAGCTCATAAATCATAAATGACCGACAAATATGGCTTCCGCCATCTGAGATCGACAAAGAATTTACTTGCCTACATCACGTATAAATGGCGAATTTCACTGGAAAAACATGGGGAATATCCAGCTGTGGCGCTGGATATATCTAAACCATTCGACAGTATTTGGCACCAAGGAATGCTTCACAAACTTCCATGATATGGCTTACCACTCGGCTTACCACCTCAACTATGCCTTCTTCTATCGTGTTTTCTTTCACACAGATTATTACATGTGGTGGTGGAGGAACTATCGTCTGATACCATAAACATCATTCCATAATAATGATCTATTGGAATTACCAATATGCCCTATCCATAGCTTTCTTTGGAGAGGATAGTACTCTTTATTCTGCATTTTCCTTTTTCCCTATATTCTCCCTAAATACATACTGCGCCATACTGCGTTTACTTCCAGAATTTCTATTTCATCCCAGGAAACTAAAAACTAACGAAGAAGCCTGGTCAACGCTGTCAATGAAGATCTTGCTGAGATATCAGCCTGAAGAACCGTACACAATATCAATGCTCGGTATCTCCATCAGTAATACTCTTTCGCGCTTACTTAAACAAGCATCTCAGCACGATCGGGATTGTGGAGGATGCTGAATAGAGGATGAAAAGATTCCTACTGACATCCTCACTGAATGCCATTTTGGGGGCAGTATCCTGAACCCAGATGATGTTAAACACATTTGGCCTAGGAAGTTGGTATCCTTTGCTCGCGAAATCGGCCTTTTCCATAGCTGACTTGCGATCCCAGGAATGTAGGTGCAGAATGGGCCCGAAAGAGTGGCCTAAGTGCGTCAGGTCCTGGACCGCCCACACATACACATCACTCTTTTATGCAACATGTCAAACTCGACTTTTCATTCCATGCGAAAAGCTACTTCACATCTCAACAGCTTCTTATGATCTACAAAGCACAGATCCGAACTGTTTTAGAATACTGTTCCCACATATGGTGTTCAGCACCCGAACATATGCTGAAGCTCACTCACTAATTTTTTGACATCATCTTGATACTTCCAAATAGAATGTTCTTCTCACATCTCGGTTAATATTTCATTAGCAATGTCAGTCGAACAAAGTCGACAAACTCAGTCAGCAAATTCTTTTGTCTGCAACTTTCCGAAAAATCCCTATCAAAACTCGTTTGTCTATACAACGGCAAAGTTCAGGAATTATTTGCCTAGGGAAGTATTTCCAAGAGTTCATAATCTCCATATGGAGAAAAGTGCTTTGGAATATCTGGGTTTGAATACTAGATTAGTGTCAGAAAATCAAATCGAAGTAAATTATAAATGAAAATTCACCCTGTATTCAAATGACTTCCTTGTAATTACTGCAGATAAGACGTTTATTGTATTCATCAGATTAGGTTATCTGTTCATAATCTTTAGGTACCTACTGTATTACTCAGTATCAACCGAACAATAAGCTGATTTCTATCAATGGTTCAAATGAACAATTAGCTAGCTAATTACTTCTTCAAGTGGTAGTAGTAGATATTTATCATCATTTATCAATACTGTCACTTCTTCATGAGACAGTGTAAATTATTCTATATCCTACTTTCAACAGAGATTCATCGTTACTTCGTTATACAAAGTGTCGCGAAATGCAGCCAACGATTCACTGTATCACATGTGATAACCCTAGTCGATATATCACGATCGACTGATATAAAATGA